TCACCTGGAGCCCGGCGTTCGCGAGCGCCGCGGGAACTATCTGGATGGCAGCGCCTGCGTGTTCTGGCGGCCCTAACACCATGATGTCGTCAAGGTGGGAGAAAACGCGGCACTCGGGGGACAGCCGCTGGAGCGCAACCGCGATATCGCCAAGTGCGTCCGCCAGGGCAATAGCGAATAGCCCTGGTGACAGAGGGCATCCCTGGTCCACCCCGCGCGTGGCTCGTATAGGGAGGGCAGCGTCAGCGTCGTTCCAGAGCAAGCGCGTGTGGTAGCAGTCGTTCCGAGCCACGCCTGCGCGGCGTGGTGCAGCTCAGGCGCTCTGGCTGCAACCCCGTGCATGACCCGTCTTCGCGGCATCGAGTTGAAGGCGTTGCTGGCATCGAAGCTAAGCACGACACTGGGTGGGCTGGCTTCGGTAAGCGCAGCTCTGGCATTGTGGACCAGTTCGCAGCCCGCCCGCCTGCCGACGGCGCATCGGTGAGCACCGCGCGCATTCTAGATCTCGTCCTTGAACACCTCGCAGGCAGCCTTGCCCGCCCGCCGACGGATGACCCCGCCGCAAGCGATGGGCCGCAGACCCCCTGTAGGCCTGCGCAGCGCCACCAGTCGGGCCCCCAGGTCGGCCCCCATGGCCTGGGGCGACAGCACGCCGCAGAGGAACAAGACAACCACTTGGGCCACAGCAGTAGTAGCTTCAGAATCGCTGAGGACTGTGCGCCAATGCTCGAAACGACCCCCGTTCGGCCTGGGCCAACATAAAAAGGGGGTCCGGCGAATGCGTCGCTTCACCGCTTCGACCAGTGCCGCCTCGGTTCCCCCGCCCGGCTCGCCAGGAGAACACAAGTCTTGGAGGGCTTCTGGGACCCCAGGGCCGCTCGCGACCGCCACCGCCCGCGACGCTCGCAGAATTGCTTTGCTGACCGGGCCCTCCTTCAGCAGAGACCCCACCTCCTTGGCATCCTCTTCTGGGGTGCGGCGTCGCCCCCCGCGCCGCGGTTGGCGAGCACCCGTGGTCACGGCGGCTCGCCATAGGGCCCCCCGGCCCCCAGCGGCCGCGAGTCGCAGACGGCTCGCGATGGCCACACTGGAGCCTCGGCCCTTGACCTTGCGCCCTCCGCGCGTCTGCTGCGAGCGGACGAGGAGCAGCCGATCGAAGAAGGTGAAAAGTTTCTCGGCCCTTTGCTGGGTGACCGAGTCGCCTGCGTCGATAGCATTGGCGAGAGTAGTCTCGACCCTGAGAGTCTCTAGTAGCGACCTGTTGCAGCCGACCTCGCGAGCGCGCAAGTCGTCGACCCAAGTCCCGGGCGCGAGACGGTCGAACCTGGCGCGCGCCTCAAGGGGCAGGCCATGCAAGAGCGCGCGGGCACATGCCATGCTCCGGCCGCACCCTGTCCAAATACTGCACTGCGGGACGATGGGCTCGCCAACGCCCATCTCCGCGGCGCGGGGGCGCACCGCTAGGCGGGTCATGATTGCGAGGCTCAGGCAGATACTGGGGCATCCCGTCTCCTTGGCTTTCTGAGCAAGAACGCTCGCGAGGACGGTGCCATGGAACGTTTCTAAGTCATGGAGCCTCTCGACGACCTGCATCTCAAGCGCCGCCCCTACTTCCGCTAAAAGCTTTGAGATTATGCCCGCTCGGGGACAAGTCGAGCCTTTGCTCGCAGCGCCCCAGCGCCCCGCCTCGGCCAACTCCCACCTGCTGACCCCCCCCCCTGGACATCCTGTGGAGGGGGGCGGCGAGCGCGATCGACCTGTCCGCCGTCGCCGTCTTCGGCTCGAGCGCAACGAGGTTCCTCAACACTGGGCCGGCAAAGCGCGCATACTCTCGACGGCGTCGAAGATGCCCGCGAGCTCTGCGAGCCCAGGCCCTGGTAGCCGAACGAAATCGCGAACTTTCCACTGGCCCATGCCTGCGGCCGGCTGCCCCGGGAATGTTCCGATGGCTTCGAGCATCTCCTTCTCCGCCCAGGGAACCTCCAGGGTCTTGTCCCTCATCGCCTCATCCCGAAGATCCTGAATCCAGGGTGCCGAGATGGGGGTCGCTGCCTGGATCATCTGTGGGCACTGCTTCTCGAAACTGCGTTTCGCCCCTGGATATCGGCTGGGCCCACGAGGATTCCATTTTTTCCAGCGCGAAGTCGTCTGCTTCCTCTGGGGCAACCTCGACCTCCATCTCCCCGGCGCAGGCGCGGGCGGCTCCGCCGCCTCGCTCGATGCTGGTATCCAATAAGTCCGCGAAACCGTCTCGGGCCTGCTTCGTCGCGCGGGCCTCGAAAGAGCGCACCTGCCTCTCGAGCAGGTCGGGTGGCGGAAAGGGTTGGTCGGACGGGATTCTGAAGCTGTCCCAGAGCGCCCACTGCTCATGCGATGTCAAGTCGGAATCTCACTCTGGGTCGTCGGTGGGCCTGCTCGGTGAGCCTCTGGAGCCCTCGGTGATTGGGCCCCGCGGGGCCCCGCTTCCTGGCGGGGTCCCGCTCTCGAACGCGTTGTTGGATCGTGCTCCAACGCCTGCTTTCAGGGCCCCCCAGGGCCCTGGAGGGCGGGGGGGGGAGGCGGCTCGAGTTTCCCTGAGGAAAGGCCAGGCCTTGCTCGTGCTATCACTTGTGCCTGGCACGGAACGCCACCGCTCCAGAGCCTGCGGCAGAACGGCGAAACGATGGGCGAGGGCGACGCCGGCACGCGCGCGCGCCGCCGGATGGTGGACCTCGGGAGCCTCGGGGTACGTCTCGAGGTACAGGATCTGGAGCGCTCCCCAAGGTCGCGGCGCGGCTCCGAGTCTGGACGTGTCTGGGGCGTCCACGGGGCACGTGCTAGTCTGGCTGAGAACCCCATGTGAAATTCTCCTCGCAACCCGAGGCGGGGCCTCCAGGGGCTTGTGGAATCTGGCATGACCTTCAGGAGCAGACCTATCTTCTCGGACACTACGGAATAGACGATGGGCCGCCTGCTACACGTGGGGTCAATTTGGGGCTCTATGAGGACCCCACCTACTATGTTCTCCACCCAGAGGCCCTACACGATGAGCTCCTGGCCCGTCATGTTCCAGTGCCCCCCGATGATGTAGGACAACTTGTGGGCTCTCACGACGGTGGCGATCTGGCTGGTGGCCCTGGCGTCGTACTTAGTGTTCCCCGCGTCGCTCTGCAGGTGCGCGGCAATAAAATGACCGCGGTGCCCTCTGAGGCGGGGGTGGCAGGCGGCCCACCCCCGCGCCTCCGTAGAGCGGCGCGCCGCGGCCCCTCGCTCCCATGACTCGAGCGCGAGAACAAAGGCTTCGCAGCGCAAGGAGGCCCACCCCGCCATGGGACCCCGTGGCGGGCGTCTTGGTGGCGGGGCAGAGGTAGGACCTGTAGTCCTGCTTCTAAATGAATTTGTGAACGGCACGGACCTTGTCGCGCCGTACGTGCATTCCACTGAACATAACTATGCGCGGCCGCTGGAAGTCGCCCGACTGGACGTAGTCCCTGGCCTTCTTGTGTCAACTCATGATACTGGCTGGCATGAGCAATTGACTGGCCAAAACTGACATGGTGTCTGCTACGACCATCACTGAGGCGAATGATATCATCTGGGTCTTCGATGCCGAGGCTGATGAAACTGTGGATCTCGACTCTCTGCAAGATCTGCTGACTGACTGCTTTGCCGCTGCGGCGGCTGGCCCCTTTTGCGGGGGGGCTGCTGGGCGATGCTGGTCGCCCTGCTGGCGGTTCCGAGGCCATCCTTGTCCTCATCGCCTCCTGCTGCAGCCCCCCCGCGGCCCCTGGTTTCGCCGCGGCTGCAGTGGGGGATCGGCGACTGGGCTCCTGGGCGTCCTCGCCCACGGTTGCCTGTGGCGCCGCCTGTGGGGCCCGCTGCGGCCGCTGTGCCGTCGCACCTGGTCGGTGGCCTCGTCGGCGGCGGCGCCTTCCCCGCCTTGGCTGTCGTGTCGAGTTGCTGCACGAGCGCCTGGGCCTGCGTCGCGTCGTCGCCGTTCAGCCCGTTGATGGCCGCTCGCAGCCCTGGAGGCATCTCGGGGACTGTCGCCGTGGCCGTTCCGCCGTCTGCTGCTTGCGCCCCTGGGGCCTTGGCCGCGGCCTCCACTGGCGCCTCCACCCATAGGCTGCTGCGAGGCGGGGCACCACTGCGCTGTGGCCTGGCTGCTGGCCTCCCCGAACTTCAGCCGAACCTCGCGGAGCTCGATCGACACCTTTGCGCGATCCTCCCCAGCCTCCTGGAGCTGCCCCTCGAGATCCTTGACGTGGGTGTCGAACTCCTCGACTCGATTCTCGTGGTGGCGCACCTTCTGCAGCGCCGCCACTGCTGCTGCTGCGGGTGCCGGCCTCTTCTCGGTGGCCAGTGCCGCCACCGACAGCGCCGCGGGCCCTAACTCCTGCTTCTGGGCGGGACTCCCAAGATGGCAGTGAGGGTCGAATTCAAGTCCATCTCAGGCGGGGTCCCGCTTGTAGCCTCACTGTGGCTGTGGTGACCTCCCTTGCCGCTGTCCCCGGGGAGGTGGGAAAAAGGCTCACCGCACTTGCACCAGACCTTCTTCTTGGCCTTGGAAGTGAACTGCCAGGCGCCGCAACGATTGCACACCAACTATGGGACTATGGGCGATGCTGCTTCGGGCGGAGGTTTTGGGCTGCGTCGGTCCAGGCCCAACCCATGTCTGCTGCTCTGGGTGACTGGCTGCGAAACTGGCCAGGGAACCTGGCGCGAAAAAGACCGCCCTCCTGAGAATCGCTCGAGCGGAAAATGGTTTGAGCCACCTCCTCCTCCTCCTCCTGCTCCTCCTCCTCCTCCTCCTCCTCCTCCTGCCCCTCCTCCTCCTCCTCTTCTCTTCTCTTCTCCTCTATTCTCCTCCTCCTCCTCATCCTCCTCATCCTCCTTCGCCTCCTCCTCCTCCTCCTCGTCCGCCTCTTCCTCCTCCTCCTGCCTGCCTCCCGCATGCACCACGAAAGGGCAACCAGCGAAGGCACAGAAAAGAGAAAAGATACGTCCGGCCCACTGCAGGCCTCCCGCACGAGCCCTTCGAGGAAGTCGAGAAAGTCCTGGGGAACTGGAGGCAGCGTCGCCGTCTTCTGATTAGTGTGATGATTATGCGTCTTGAACATCGTTGCGCATAATGGTTCCTTCGTTTGCCTCGTCATCCATGTGTTAGTATGCGTTGCCTTATGTTTCTCTCTCCCTCTCTGTCTCTCTCTCTCTCTCTGCCTCTCTCTCGCCCTCTCTTTGGTGTGTCTCTCTTTCTCTCTGTCTCGCTCTCTCTCTTTTTCTCTATCTCTCTTTCCTGTTCGTTTTCCCAACCATCCTGTGGTGTTGGGTCCTCGTTTTGAAGAGACAGCGACCCGCGTTCCTTCCTCCCTCCTCCCCTCATCTTCCCTCCTCCCAGTCCTGCCTCTGCCCTCCGCATGTCAACCATTTTGGCACCCCCTTTTCACAGGGTTCGTAGCCCCATAGGGAGCTCCAACGAAGGGCCCAGTGGCAGGGTCCGCATGCGCCCGACGCCCATGTTCGCACACTCCTCACACGGTTCGTTACCCCACAGGGAGCTCCACCGAAGGCCCAAATGGCAGGGCCCGCATGCGCCTGACGCCCGTGTCGGCACACCCCTCACGCGGTTCGTGGCCCCACAGGGAGCTCCACTGAATGCCCCAGCGGCAGGGTCCGCATGCGCCCGACGCCCGTGTCGGCGCACCCCTCACACGATTCGTGGCCCCATAGGGAGCTCCACCGAAGGGACCAGTGACAGCATCCGCATGCCCCCGACGCCCGTTTCGGTACTCCCCTTACAGGGTTCGTGGCCCCACAGGGAGCTCCAACGAAGGCACCAGTGGCAGGGTCCGCATGCGCCCGACGCACATGTCGGCACACCTCTCACACGGTTCGTGACCCCATAGGGATCTCCACCGAAAGCGGTACCCACAACGCAGTACTCACGACAGCGTATGGTTGGGTCTTCCTTCGCCAGGATGTTGTTTCCTGTCTCTCTTTCTCTCTCTCTCTCTCGCTCGCACTGTCTCTTCTCTCTCTCTCTCTTTCTCTGTGTCCCTGTCTCTCCCTCCTTCGCTCTCTCTCTCTCTCTCTCTCTCTCCCTCTCTCTATCTCTATCTCTCTCTCTCTCTCTCTCTCTCCTGTGTGCTTATATATACATAGAGAGTAATGCATACATACGCGCTTCGCGTGCGCTCAGGTTCTAGTCGGTCGCAGACAATTCGGGCCATCCGGTGCTAGCCGTCGTGGTGCCCTGTGGGAACCAGTCTTGCAGCTTCTTGGGGCCACCTTGGGCCCACTTCGGCTTCCCTGGGCCGTCTTGGGGCCAAGTCGGGACATCTCCAGACGCTCTTTGGCCGTCTTGCGTTGTCTTGGGCCATCTTGGGCCGTACTGGGCTCCTGGGGCATTCAACTCGCGGTTGCCGCGGGCCGTCCTGGGACCCTCTTGGGACCCCCTCCAGCCTCTACTTAGTAAATCTTGTTGGAGGCTGGGTGTGCTTAGGGAACCTCTGATCGGTCTATGGGGGTCTTCGGGAATCGTCGAGTCCTGGCGTTAGGTCTCGGGGCCGCCTGAGGGGCGCCTTTGGGGGGATCATGCACACCGCAGAGCGCCAGCACCGACGCTACAAGCATCGCAACCCTGCAGCTAGCCAAAGAAGAAAGGGATTGAGAGGGGAGAGGAAGAGGGCGGAGGGAAGGATGGAAGGGTTGAGGAAGGGATAGGGAGATGGGGGATGGAGAGATGTTGAGAGGGGAGGGGAATGGGGGAAGAGAGGGAATGGAAGAGGAGGGGAGGTGAGGCGGGAAGATGGGAAAAGACGGAAGGGGAAGAAGGGGGAAAGAGAAAGAACGAGAAACTCGTGCAGGGGTCGCCCAGGGGCGCCGAGAAGACGGCGGTCCCGGGGAGAGCTGGCGACCTTACCTATGCCCCGGGCGGCCCCACAAAAAAATGCTGCTCCGAACGATCCCCACCAACACCTTCGGCATTCGACCCCGGAAGTATTTGCGCTCATTGGGACGATGTCTGCGCTTCGCGGTGGTCCTCTTCGCTGATGTGACTTGTATTATCACGTATGCTCTTCTGCTCTGTGGCACCGTGTTATAGCATGATCGGTTCTGACAACGTGTGCTATGTTATGCGTCGACCAGCGATGCTGGCTCCGCTTTGCTGAACCCATTACAATAGAACTGCCTTCATGGAAACGATAATGCAATATTTCTGGTGCGCTATCTTATGACATGCGAGGTGAACCTTCATACGCTTCGTTATGTATTTGCATGCGTTGCTATATGATAGTATGCTCGATGCTGCGTTATGCCATGCTCTGATATGTCGGGGCATCGTTTTGATTATCCGTGATGTCAGGGTCTGCTACAATATGGTATGCCGAAATCCGCGATGGTATGCTCCGACATGTGATCCAATGCTGTGACCCTGCGCTATGGTGTGCTAAATTCAGTCAGTGTGTGACATGTTAGGCTCTGATCTGTTACGCTATGTTCTGGTGTGCTCTACCCTTTCTTGTTTGGTATGATGAATGGTGTTATGTGCCCAGTTATGTTCGGCTATGCGTTGCTCTGTGGTACTGGTCACGTCACGCTGAGCTCATTGCAATCGATTGCCGTGGTAGTAGCAATCGTAAAATGCATCCGGCACGTTCTCTTAAAATATGTGATGAGCTACCATACCATGATCCCGAATGACATGGTACGCGTTGTTCTCTTATACTATGCTCGATGCTGCGTTCTGTCATGCTCTGTTATACCAAGACATGGTGCTCTGGCATGTTATGCAATGCTGTGATCATGAACTGTGTTACGAGATACGATGCCATTGTGTGACATGCTGTGCTCTGTTAGGCTACGCTATGCTATGGTGTGCTCTGTCCTTTCTTGTTTGATCTGATGTTTGGTGGTATGGTATGCTCTGTGTGCTTCGTAGCAGCCGTAGTAGTAGTAGTAGTAGTAGTAGTAGTAGTAGTAGTAGTAGTAGTAATAGTAGTAGTAGTAGTAGTAGTAGTAGCAGTAGTAGTAGTAGTAGTAGTAGTAGTCAACGCAATAATACTAATAGTAGTACTAGTAGTATATGTCGTCGTCGCAGTCGTCGTAGAAGTACGAGTAATAGTAATAGTAGTAGTAGTAGTAGTAGTAGTAGTAGTAGTAGTAGTAACAGTAGTAGTAGTAGTAGTAGTAGTAGTAGTAGTAGTAGTAGTAGTAGTAGTAGTAGTAGTAACAGTAAAGATATACGGTGACGTCGTGCCGACTATAACGTGTGATACGTCGTCGAATCGGTCGTTGCTCCGCCTGTTTGATCAAGTGGCCAGCCTGACCTTGGCGCGCACTTCATGCTTGACCATATTAAACTACGGCGTGTTATGTCATGATGGTCCGCTTCGCTTGCGTCTTGTGTTATGCTGCCAAATGCGGTTCTGCTCTGTGGCACCGTGCTAGAGCAGGGTATGGCCGTCAGAGTCTATTATGCGTTGCTCAGTGGTGCTGGCTACGTTGTCCTGAGCTAATACAAAATAAACGCCGCCGTGGTAGCAAACGTACCACACGTATAATGCGATGCCTTATGGTATGTGATGATCTGCCCTACTATGCTCCATTATGCCACATTACCCGTTGCTATATTATGTTCTGCTCGGTGCTGAGGTCTGTCATGCTCGGTTCTGCCAGGACATGGCATGTGATTATCTCTTGCGTCCTGGTAGGTTACAATATGGTATGTCGCTCTCCGCTATGGTATGCCGTCATGTTATGCAATGGTGTGACACTGCGCTATGTTATGATATGATGTGTAATTGGGTGTGGCATGTTTCAAGTTGCACTGTCATGCTATGTGATGGTGAAGTCTGTCCTTCCTTGTTTGGGATGGCGTATGGTGTTATGGTATGCTCTGTATGTTCCGTTATGGCATTGCATGCTCTGTCAGGAAGTGTCCTGTTATGTTCTGCTCCCACATGCTATGATATGGCATGCGTCTTCACTCGATGGGGCTATGACGTACTATGGTATGCTGTGATATACTATGGTATGCCGCGCTTTGTCATGGTATGATGTGCCATGTTGTGGATTGTTATGTGCGATGGTATTGTGCTACGGCGCAATGTGTTCTGTCATGGTAGGTTATGATATGATGTTCTGCCATCGTGTGGCATCTTCTTTTCTGTTATGTTGTGCTGTGAGGTGTGGTGTTATGCTGTGTTCTGCGTGACCAATTCTGTCATAGTGTGTTGTGTTATGCTCTGCTATGTTCTGCTATGATATCGCATGTTATGCCGCGCTCTGGCCTGTCATGCCATGGAATGGAATGGCATGCGCTGCGATGCTGTGTTATGGTGTGGTTCGTTTTGCCATGGCATGTTTTGTGATGAGATGCTAGGTCATCTTATAGTGTGCGCTGTCATGTTATGGTACGTATGACCCCATATGTCATATCATGTGCTCTTGTGCTGTATTGTGATATGAGATGACATGTGATAAAAAGTGATAGTTTGACATGGTCTGTTTTGTTGTGTAAATGTATGCATCGAGTTGTTATGAGATGCTTGGTTGATCACGCTATGAAGTGATATGCGCTGCGGTGCTGTCCTATCATACACGCTGCTGCTATAGTGTGTTATGTTGCTACATGTTCTGTCATGATATGGAACGTTATGCTCGGAAATATATATATATATAGATATTACTTGAGGTGGTGCAGTGTTATGCTCTGTTATGTGAGTGGGGAACCTGGGGATTTGATTTGGGGGCAGCGGTATGCAGAGTGGGCGAGTTGGCGCAGGAGGCGGGACCCTCAGGGATTATCGGGGGACCTGGGGTTCTCGCGGCCGCAGTATGCAGAATACGCGAGTCGGCGCGGGGGGCGGGATCCGCAAGGACTATCGCGAGACCTGAGGGTCTGGCGGCCGCGGTATGCAGAGCGGCCGGGCCGGGAGGTCTACTTACTGGCAAGGAGGCGGAGGTGGGGGAGGACGTCGTTGTGATTGTCATCCCCCCCCCCATGCCGCACAGGGCTGGACACTTCGGCTTCTCCTGCGCCGTCGGAGAGCCA